AGGTAGAGGGAGAAGAGGAAGCGCCAGGAACCAAGCCGTCTGTAGGGGCACAAAGCAGGGCCCAGCCTGCTGGTCAAATGGCATGTGATGACTAGGCAGACAGAGTTACCCAGAGAGTCAAGGCAGATGGCTTTAAGAGACCAGAGGAAACCATGTGGCTCTGGAGCCAGATTTCCTAGATTCAAACCCTGGCTCCTCCAAGTACCAGCTGTGTGACCTTAGACAAGGTATTGAACCTCTCTGTGCCTCGGTTTCTCATCTGTGAAGTGGAGATGAAAAGAGCACTATCTTCTATACCAGACAGGATCATTCAATGGGCTAATATGTACAAATCACTTAGAACAGTGTCTGGCATGCGGTAAGAACACTATAAAGGCTATAAGTTGTTTTTTGAGGAAGAGATCCATATAACGTTGAAAGAGCTGGTTTCCCTAGAACATCCTCAAGAGATATCTGGTCCCCCACACACAGAGGCATGAAATGGTACCAGATGCGCATGTGCATTAGTGAAGTTAAAGGAGTATGTGTAACGTTGAAATAAGGGTATGTAGTTACTGAGGTCTGTCAACATGCAAATCAACGAAACTTTGAATTTGTAAACCCTTTTAATCTTGAGTTCCTTGAACTCAGTTTGGGAGCCTCCCGTTCCCCTCAGATCTCTCCTTCAAAGGAGGCTGGACTTGCCTCCTCTTTTGATCTCCTACTTAAGCATAGGTCCCAAAGAGCCTGCCTATTCCCCGCCTGCCCTGTTGGGAGCATAGGGCAGGTGAGAGCCAGTGCTTCTCACAGCTCTCAGAACATCATGGCTGCTTCCTTCCTGCTGTAGGAGGAAATCTGAGTCCTCAGCATTGGTTCCCCAGGCCAGTGTTGGCTCTAAGACTATCAGGACATGAAAATGCCAGGCCCCAGGAGAACAATCCTGGCTCACTCATAGGTGAATGTACTTCACTTTTTTGGGCCTCAAGTCTCATCTATAATTCTGGGGAAGAGTGGAGGAATATATTATATTTTCCTCCCTCTCTTGGAGGATGTTTAGGAAAAGTGAGGCCAACTGAGATCTTAGTGTGACTCCATCCACTGATGCTTTTGTGTCTCAAATACAAACTTCTCAATAGAAAAGACCAGAGCAGAAAGCTCCCCTATTGGGCCAAACAGTGGATGACCAGGTAATGTGATCCAAGGTTAGCTGACTTATTTGTAAGGCACCACACCGTGGCTTTTCTCACAATGGGACTCAGTAATGGCAGGAAATTTGAGGCACCCTGGCTGGTCTTGGCTTGTCCAGCATACTACAAACCTTTTAATTTTTTAATTGATCTGAGAGAGAGAGAGAGAGAGAGAGAGAGAGAGAGAGAGAGAGATTTGTTGTTCCACTTAGTTATGCATTCATTGGTTGATTCTTGTATGTGTCCTGACCGGAGATCGAACCCACAGCCTTGGTGTATGAAGACGATGTTCTAAACAGCTGAGTTACCCGGCCAGGGCCCAAACCTTTAATTTTATAAATAGGTAATACATTCACATATATTTACATAGCTCAATGTTTTATGGATATAAATAGAGTGGAAATGTTTTTACTCTTGAACTCCACCCTTTCTTACTAGGATGCAAGCAGTTACCATTTTCTAATGGATCCCCCCAGAGATAATCTACAAAAAGAAATACTTATGTAGTTGCTTTCTCTCCATGCTTTTGCTTTTCTCAAAAGGGGATCCTCCTATATGGGTACATAAAGAACACCCTCAATTGTTTTTATGGCTCTCCTTTATATTGTACCAAAATGTACTTACCCACTTTCCCATTAATGGACATTTAGATTGTTTCAGTCTGTCCCAGTGCTATGATGAAGATTCTTATAAATCAGCACACAGTCATTTAAGGTGCCACCGCTCCTTATACATATCCCTCAGGGACTCTTGACCAGGGCCTGGGGGACCCTTAGAAGTCAAACTCAAGGAGCCGGGAAAATTAGAAGGGAAAAATCTTCCATCTTTATTTGCACTAACTTCTAAGTGAAATTCAATGTTTCCTTCCATTATGAATGCAGGCAATACATTTAGATGTGACTTTCTCATATGATAGAAGATATTTTGAAATATTTACACTCATCTCTACTTTGTTATTGTGGCAGTAAAGGAAAACTGTTTCTTTACTCACAATATTTCTGACACCAGATGTGTGCATTTTCCTCCCATATCAACCAATTTTCCAACTTTCTGGACAAGAAGTGGGAGTCCTATATTTATATTCAATTCCGACAGTAACTACCTGAGATTAGTGTCAGACTTCACAAGTTTAAAGGCTCAGTCCCACAAGACTGCCTTCACCCCAGATGCCAGTCACAGTCATGGGACCCCCAGGTACTCATGCTTCTGTCTGACTTGGCTACAAATCAGAGGTTCCCACACACCCTTCAGGTACAATAATTTGTTAGAATGGCTCACAAAACTCAGAAACACTTACATTTACCAGTTTATTAGAGGATAAGATAAAGGATAAAGTTGAACAGCTAGATGAAGAGATACATAGGGTGAGGTATAGGAGGGTCCCGAGCACAGGAGCTTCTGTCCCGTGGAGTTGGGGTGTCCCACTCTCCCAGCATGTAAATGCATTCACAGCCAAGGCCTCTGAACCTTGTAGTTGAGGAATTTATATGGAGGCTATGTCACGGAGGCATGATTGACTATTAAATCGATTTTCAGCCCCTGTCCCTCCCTGGAGGAATGGAGGTAGGATTGAAAGTTCCCAGCTTCTAATCATGGGCTTGGTCTTTCTGGTGACCAGATTCCATCCTGAAGCTATCCAGAGGCCCACTAAGAGTCACTTCATTAGAACAAAAGATGCTCCTGTCACCCAGGAAATTAGGGGCAGAGACCAAATATATTTCTTTTTTCTTTTTCTTTTTTTTTCACTGAGCCACACCGGCCGGGCCAGGGCAACTTCAACTTCTCCTCTTCCTCCTCCTCCTCCTCCTCCCTCTCCCCCTCCTTTTTTCCCCTTTATTGATTTTAGAGAGAGGAAGTGAGAGAGACAGATAGAAACATTGATGAGAGAGAACATCAATTGGCCACTTCCTGCATGCTCCCCTCTGGGGATTTGGCCCACAACCTGGGCATATGTCCCAACCGGGAATCGAACTGGTGATCTCTTGGTATATGGGCTGATGCTCAACCACTGAGCCACACCATCTGGACCAAATACATTTCTTATTATGTCACAGGTAGATAATTATTAGATTTTCCATTAGATCTTGTTTATATTATGCATTAACAAAGAAGCACATATATTATTACATCACATATTTAGTTTTCTAAAAACATTTTCTTATAATTTTTGTTTTGTCTTATGCATTTTTAAAACATTTTTATTTATTGATTTTAGAGGGAGAATGGGAGAGACAGAGAGAAACATTGACCTGTTGTTCCACCTGTTTATGCACTCATTGCTTGATCCTTGCATGTGCCCCAAGTGGGGATCGAACCCACAACCCTGGCACATTAGGATGACACTCTAACCAGCTGAGCCACCTGGCCAGGACTTGTCTTATGCAATTTTTAATCATGGTAAACTATACATAAAATGTACCATTTTAACATTTTAAGTGTATAGTTTAGTGGCATTAAGCACATTCACACTGTTGTGCAACCATCACCACCATTAAAGGGTCCAGCTTGGGGAACTTTTCATCTCTCCAAGCTGGACCCATTAAACACTAACTCCTCACAGCCCTCTCCCCCACCCCAACTACCATTTTACTTTCTGTCTCTATGAATTTGATCACTCTAGATACCTCAAATGAGTGGAATCATAAAATATTTGTCCTTTTGTGTCTGGCTTATTTCACTTAGCAACAATGAATGTCTTCAAGGTTCATCCATATTGTATCATGTGTCACAATTACATGTCTTTTTGAGGCTGAATAATATTTCATTGCATTTACTCACCACATTTTGCTTATCCATTTATCTGTTGATGGACATTTGAGTTTGTTTCCACCTTTGGACTACTGTGAATAATGCTGTTAGAACATTGGTGTTCAAATATCTTGTTGGGTCCCTAATTTCAATATTTGTAGGTATATACCTGGGAGGAGAATTTCTGGTAGTTCTATGTTTAATTTTTTGAGGAATATGTATTTATTTTTATGCATGAAAAATATCGTTCTGAGAACACCGGGCTTCCGTCATACATACTCTAATTTTGCATACCTGTGTGAGCCACTAGATGGGGGACTTCCTGACAAGGGCTGTCTGGCTCCTAGTGCGGCTCCAGCAACTCTCCCAGGGGTGTAGTACGTGCATTCAACGTCTAGAGGGCGCCTTGCGTATCCCGTACTGGGCGAGTTGTAGGCGACACAGAGGTGCACTTACCCAAAGGAACTCAGCCAATAGGAGAGTTAGGCTTGAGCATGACCGATCAAAGTGCCCAACTCCTGCCTGCGCCGCTGCCCAGGTGTGTAACCCGAGCCAAGGTAACCTTCCTGGCCCCAGCTGCCCCGTCCATGAAATGACATACATCATGGAGTCAATGTCGCTCACGAACACACCGCCTCGCCTTTAGCACAGTGCCTGGCACTCGGCAGGCACCCAATAGTTCTGTCCCTGTTACCCGCAGGGCAAGAGAAACACCTGTGGAAAATCCCGGAGGCTGCTGGCCGGATGTTGCTGGGGCTTGGGGGGTCCGGCACCCCTCTCCAGGCGGGCGCGAGAGTGCACAGGGAGTGGCCGGAGGGTGTCTTCCTGTGGTGGCGCCGCCTGCTCGCCGCTCTGGGTTGTCCGGCCTCCCCTGGGCTGCGTCACCGACCACCCTCTCCGTTCAGCCCGGGAAACGGGCGGGCCGCCAGCGGGCGCCTCTCGGGGCAGCAGCGGCTGGCCCTCCGCGCCGGCGGGCGGCGCTAGTCTACACCCGGCCGGGGCGACGCTCGGGCCCGGCTCCTCTCGGCGGCGGCGCACGGCGGTCCGGCCGTCCGCGGGGCGGGGACGCGGCAGCGGTGGCGGCGGCTCCGTGTCGTCGGAGCCCGAGCGCGGAGGCCCGTCCCGGCGGTCAGGGGCCGGGCAGGGCAGGGGCGCCATGTGGTTCATGTACGTGCTGAGCTGGCTGTCGCTCTTCATCCAGGTGTCCTTCATCACGCTGGCCGTCGGTGAGAGTGCGCGACCCCAGTGCGCGCGGGCTCCCTCCCACCTCGGCACCCGTGCTCGCCGGTCTCGCCTCGCCAGGGCGCCGGAGCCATCCGGAGAGCCCGGCCCGGTGCTCCCGGCCTTGCATACCCACCTTCGTCCCGCCTGGTCTTGCCCTCCTGCGGCTCCCAGCAGCCCAGCCGGACTCGGGTCCTTCCAGGTGTCACAAAGCCCGCCCCAGCAGTGCCGGGGAGTGTCTCCCAGTGCCCCGCGCCGCCCACCGCCGCGCCCACCCCCGGGGGCCGCCAGCGCCGAACTTTTCCCTAGTACCGCCGCCCTTTCGCCTGGGGCCCTTCGAACTTACTCCGACTTCGACGGGCTTACCCCGTCTGGCTGGTACCAGCTGTGTTTCTCAGCTGAGATCTCACCTCCTCCGGAAAGCCCTCCGTGCGGGGTTTGATGGCCCAGCAGTGCCCCTACTTTACCTAAAACAGCACTTGTCACCCCGGAATCCTCTGATTCCCCTTCCTCCTGCGCGCTTACTCCACGCCTACCCTTACTGGGTTAGAGAAGGGACATTGCCTTTATTCTCAGCACTCAGCCCAGCACCTGGCCCCTATGAAAGGCCCAACAGATATTTATTGAATGAGTGAATGAAATTCCCCCTTAGGGGGTCAGAGGTTAGCAGAGTGCTGAGTCCTCAGATACAGGTTTCCACTTTTATGAAATCTCTCCTTAGTTGCCCTGATAAAGTTTTACTTTTAAGGACTTTGGAAGTCAACAACATGGGTTGTTTGGTTTGTTCCTTGCCTTCTGGAGTCCGCGAGGGGTGATGGGGACCCAGCTGCAGAGAAAGGGATGACCGTGATCATGGGAGTGACCCTGGCTAATGTTCTCTTTGCTTGCTCCTCTTCCCGACCCTGCAGCGGCTGGACTCTATTACCTGGCAGAACTGATAGAAGAATACACAGTGGCCACCAGCAGGATCATAAAATACATGATCTGGGTAAGTGGCAGCTTCTCCCAAGATTCACCCTCACTCTTTTGCCCTGCCTCAAAAGGAAGAAGTGGGGAAAGTATGGAGTGGATGGTAAGACCTCTGTCCCTGCTCTTTCCTGAGGGTACCGCCCCTACCTCCCTGCCCTGGGCCTTATACTTTGGGTGTGCTCTCCTGGGCCCAGGTCTTTGCCTCCTTCCCTAAGTGGCATTGCTTCACTGCAGACCCTGTTCTCAGTTCCTTAAGGTGACAGCTGAGTGCTCATTTTCTGTTGACAAGACCATGGCTTTGCCTTTGCTTGGCTGTCTTCCACTGTCTCTAGCCCCTCGCTCTGCTCACAGCATTTGGAACTGAGAGGAACCTTAAGGACAGTTTTGAGTACTTGTTCATTCCTTCTTTCTCAGTGGATCAAATGACTAGTCCTAAGAGGGGGAGATACCTTCTCTGGCCCAGGCCCTGCCCTTCCTGGGTCTCATGGAAAGCTTCTCTTTCTGAAGACACAATCCTTGCCATTGATGTCAAAGCCACAGGAGTGACAGCTGGTGGATGGATTTCTGCTAACTGCAGGAAAGGCTGGGGATAGGGGTGGGGGCACATTTGAACAGGTGTCCAATCCTCTAGGTCACCAGGTGTCAGCAACCATTTCCACTTTGGGCTTGGCCTGAGGTGGGGAGTTAGTAGTGGAGACAAGTGGTGGCTCTCAGCACTAGGTTCAGAGGTCAGCTTATGGGTGTTGTTACAGGAATTTGACCTTCATTTAACTAATTGTCATTGTTGATGCTGACAACTAAGTCCTTCAGAACAGCATTTTCAAACTTTACATATGATTCATTATTGGGTTGTATTATCAGTACATTAGGTCATGATTAGTATTAAAAATAGGATAGAAAAGATTATAATTGAAAGTTGAACTTTGATCATATATATGTATATGTGTGTTGGGGTCACAGTGTAAACTGTTACTGTGGGTTGCTGTCACACATTTTGAGAATGGCATTTAAAGATGTTAACCTTTGGGAGCCGAGAAGCTTGTTTGGGGAGATCAGACCTGTGATTGAAATGAGGTGAAATTGAAGCATGAATCTGGTGTTGCCCCAAGTGGGCTGAGGGTTAATGAGTCCAGGAAGACTGCCTGGAAGAGGCTCCCTGCACTGTGTGCCTCTGCTTGTTTCAGTTCTCCACAGCTGTGCTGATTGGCCTCTACGTTTTTGAGCGCTTCCCCACCTGCATGATTGGCGTGGGCCTCTTCACCAACCTCGTCTACTTTGGCCTCCTCCAGACCTTCCCCTTCATCATGCTGACCTCGCCTAACTTCATCCTGTCGTGCGGTGAGCGGGGGCAGAGTTGAGGCAGCTGAGGTGGTTGGATGTGCCTAGCTATGTCCATGGCACTGAAGGGGTTTAGAGAAGAGGCAAGCCACTGAGGTCCTCCAGGAGGCCAGGCTGATTGGGAAGACAGGTTTCTCACCTGTGAGGAGCCTAGAGCCCACCTTGGCTTAAATGACTAGAATTTGGTGGGGTTGGGGGTGAGACACTCAGACAGGGAGGGCTTTCTCGGGGAGGTAAGTATGAAGACCGTTTAGGAAGAGAGAAGAAGTGGGCTTGCTGAGTTGTTAGAGCCCCTAAGAAACTCCCTGTCCAAGAAAAGCCCAAAGCCCTTCTCTGGCAGGCAGGCAGCGTCCCATCCAGTCCTCTGGCCCAAAGTCATGTTTAAGACTGGAGTTTCATGAGGCTGTGGGTCCCCTGCAGACAGCTACCTTGGGGTTGACAAATGTGTTTGGAGGACCCTGGCCTTCCTGCCTTTGCCCTGCTACCGCTCTCTGACCCAAGGGAGTCATTTTCCCTCTCTGGGCCTTCGCCTCTCCATCTGTTCAAAGATGATGTCTAGGAGACTCATAGGCACAATGAGGTACTTAGAGATATTTATTGATAGTCACAGAAAAGGTTCTGGAAAGGTTTTGGTTACCAGGATTGCCTTTTCTCCCATTAATCCTTGCTAGTCATCCTAGCCTTCAGTCAGGATATCAGATGGGATTGGGGGTTTATAGAGCTACTTTTCTATTCCTGTGGGAGAACCTGGGAAGAATATTGTCCACAATGAGGGTGCAGGATTCAAGCTAGACCTGGTCTCTTCTCTGCATGCCTTAGTGTGATTTTATCAAAGGATTTGTTCACTCGGGTTTGGTTGGGGAGCCTTTCCCTGGAGACCAGGCCCCTTTTACATCTTTTTAGGGAAGAGGGCTCTCCACCGCAATCCCCCCAAGCCCCAGCAGCAGGCTCCCCTGACCTGCCCTTTAGATGCCTGGGTTTTTCTGAAAGACTCTATGGGCATAAGGCACCACCGTCTCCCCCAGCGCCTCCTGGTGCTGAGGGCGCCGACATGCCGGAGTTGTGGTCTCTGCCTTAGGAGGGAGAGGCCAGAGGAGACGAGTGGCAGCTGGCTGAGGCGTGTGTGCTAAGTGTTCAGTTTGGGGGATGCTTTGTTCTGGTGCCTGCACTTGCCCTCACCATGGGATCAGGTGGGGCTGCCTGTCTCTGAGCAGCCTGCCCCCAGGATCTGCTTGCTCCCTCCCTCCCATAAATTCGGCTGCACACTAAGGAGGTCCAGAACATACTCATTCAGACCAGTGGGTCTTATCCTGGGGCAGGTTAAGGAACGACTCCCCCAGAATTTTGAGGAACCTTAAGACTGCACCCCTAAAGTGTCTAGCACACTGTGCCCTTTTATTCTTGGGGAGTGCTCTTTATTGGAGGAGTCCTTCTCCCTGCTGCCCAGTTTGGAGTGGAATCTCTTGGGCGTATGTGACCTTTGCACTCATGACTTCTTCCACCCACTACCCATGGGAGAGCTCTCATCAGGACTCACATCCATGAAAAACCAGGTTAATTGTCATGGTGCTTCGGAGGATGTGACACTGCCGTCTGTTTTTTATGACATTTCAAGGGCTTTACCTGCCTTCTGATTTCACTCATGCATTCCCTCTGCAGTGGGCAGGTGGATGCTAACTCTCCCATTTAAAAAAATTTTTTTTTCTTTATTGATTTTAGAGAGAGAGAGGAAGGGAGAGGGAGAGATAGAAACATCAGTGAGAGAGAGAACATTGACTGGCCGCCTCCTGCATGCCCCTCACATGGGATTGGGCCCACAACCTGGGCATGTGCCCTGACCGGGAATCGAACCAGCAACCTCTTGGTGCATGGGTCGACGCTCAACCACTGAGCCACACCGGCCAGGCCAACTCTCCCATTAACAGATGGAAAACAGTCCTGAAGAGTGGTGTACTTGGCCCAAAGCCGTGCTCTGAGTCGGGTGTAAAGTTAGGACTAAAATTCAGGGCTTCAACTCCCGGGAGCCTTTTGAAAGTTAAAAGTCCAGCTTTTATGTTGTTCTCTCCAGACTAACTGACTCTTCATTCCCTCGACAGGACTAGTGGTGGTGAATCATTACCTAGCATTTCAGTTTTTTGCGGAGGAATATTATCCTTTCTCAGAGGTAAGAAGTGTTTAGTTCATTAAACTATTAATAGGAACAAAAGGATGAAGGCGACTTGCATGATTCGCTTTTTGAACCTAGCTATGATTTGAAACTGAGGCCATTTAGGGATAACACGTTTCTAAAACACTTAGTATAGATGATTGTAGAAAACAGTATGGATGAGGAGCAGGGATCCCTTCAGCTGGGATGGGGAGGACACTGCCCCCCCCCCGTGAGTCCTTTGGGTCTCGCAGGATCCCGGCCTGACACCGTGAGTCCAGGAAGGGTCAGTGGAGTGGCCTTGTCTGATGCAGATGTCATAGGGCTGTGTTGGGGTGCAGCCCCAAACCCCAGCTCTTCCTGGTGGCCTTGTTAAGGCCTTCTCCTCTCAGGATTTCTCCACACCCTGCTACTCCAGTCTGGACCCCTGAGGAAGAACAAGGTCACTTCCTTGGGGAGTGTGGGTCCATCATGATTTTGCCTTCCATCTGTCCCCAGTTCAGAGGAGTTCCTTGTCCTAGCGACCAAAATTTGGGGATTATGGCCACACTCAGTTACATTCAGCCTCCCCCTTTCCCCACTGTGCTATCTCCATGTCTGAGGATGTCCTGTCTCTGCTAACCAGGCCCTAGCCCCCTTCAGAGGTCAGCGTGGGGGCTTCTGTGCACTCTTGACCACCTCTCAGATACAAGGCGACCATGCCCAGCCCACCCTTGGCACCTCCAGGGGCACTTTCTTCTCAGTCTCTCTCGTTGCCAGGTCCTGGCCTATTTCACTTTCTGTCTGTGGATTATCCCGTTTGCGTTCTTTGTGTCCCTGTCAGCTGGGGAGAACGTCCTGCCCTCCACCGTGCAGCCAGGAGGTGAGAAGGGGTTCGTGAGGGTCACGGCGGGAGGATGCCAGCCAGGCCTGAGGGCTGGGGGAGCCGGAGCCCAGCCCTGTGATGCGAGACCCTTGGGCTTCAGGTGGGGAGAGCTGTGCTCACTCAGACACACACACACTCATCTCCCTGCCTGTGTCTCCACAGATGACGTGGTCTCCAATTACTTCACCAAAGGCAAGCGGGGCAAACGCTTAGGGATCCTGGTTGTCTTCTCCTTCATCAAAGAGGCAATTCTACCCAGTCGTCAGAAGATGTACTGACCCACTTGGGGAGGGGATGTGGGGGCAAGATCAGGAGAGTCAGGCCCTTGGGCCGCTGTACTAGGTGGGGGCTGTGAGTCTGGAAGGCATCTTCCCCCAGCCCTGGACTGACTTCCTGCAGCTTTTCCTGAAGTTCCCAGCCTCACCTTCCTCAGGATGCTCAGCTTGGCTCAGATCTGACGCTACTAGAGGCTGTGACCTCGGAGGCCCCAGGGAGGTGGCAGAGCCTGCTTAGCCAGAGGCCGTGGTCCACCTGGTTGTAGAAGCTGAGCTCCCTGTGGCCCTCCCCGCCCCTTCCATGCTGGGTCAGGAGGTTCTGGCGCAGCCGGGCAGGCAGGGCAGGGGCCATGAAGCTGGAGAGCAGACAGTGATAAGTTCTTTGGGCAGAGGGCCATGGGGTGGGGCCATGGCTTGGCAGTTCCCAGAGAAATAGTTTTTTGCTGTTGAACTGTGATTTTTGTCCAAGACTGATTTCTGTTTGAATAAAAATTCTAGGTGGCACTGTTGCCTTAATACCCTGAAAGTTCATCTTTCTTCCTGCTGACCTTCTGCCCTGGACCGGATGGGCTTTTCTGCCCTGGGGGTTCCTTTTCTGGGATTGGCTCTTGCCTTTCTGAAGGGACTGTTCTTCTGGCCCTTGGTGGGAAGGGGGCAGAGAGGAGGAGCTGAGCCCGGTCCGGGGCTGGGGCGTGGCGGTGGAGGCAGTCTTTCTTGTGCCCCTCTGTTTTCTTCTATTTCTTCTTTCCCCAAGGCTCCATGACTGTCAGCGGGGCCGAGGGTACGGTTTGGGACTGGGTTAGATTTTCAGAGCAACATCTACAATACCCTATTTATAAGTCTTCCCTGGAGAAAAGGAGTGGTTTCTGGCAGAATTCTGTGTCAGCCTCAAGGAGAAACCAAGTAAAACTTGGCTTCCAGCAATCTAGGCTACAGCCTGTTTTTTAAGAAATGGAGCTGGTGGGAGAAGTTGTTCGTCACTGAGAGCACTCAGGGCTGGTCCTCTCTGTGTGCTCAGCTCCCGGAGAGATGACCTCGGGCTTCTACGAAGGCAGGCCAGGTCCCGGGCACAGACCAGCAATGTTAACCTTGCACTCCAACTACAGTGCCTTGCAGATACTCAGCCGTACACATCGGAATGAAGCCCCCATGCGAGCCGTTTCTGGCCATGTCTTATACCTCACAGCGAGGGTGGCAAGTGCAGAGATGGACTGCACACATGTAGTACCTTTAAGCCCCTAGGAAGACCCCTGTGCTTGAAAATCTTTCCTCCATCCTGCCTCAGGCCCCACTGTAGCCCTTCATTTCCTTGGCTTTAGCATTTCCTGTTCTCTTAACAACACCAGCCTTCCCCTTTCCCTGGGGGGCGCAGCACATTGTGGTCTTCTCTCACTGGGAATGAGATCGCCAGGCCCTTTTATCCTATGCAGACCAGCGGGGACACAGTAGAGGACACTGGGGGCCCGACATCATCCTCGCTGCCGGGTCCTGCCCTCCCTTGCTGTCCACTTTGTTCCTCACCCCGACGACGTGGCTTTGCCCCTCCGCTCGCTCCACTGCCAGTGCTCTCCCGGGGGTTGCCAGTGGCCTTTCTGTGCTAAATCTAGTGAACCCTTTCCTATCTCGCTGGGTCTCTGCAGCTACTCACCCCCAGCTTCATGAATCGCACTTCTGCGGCCAGTTCTCTTCCTACCTCTGTGGCTTCTCCTTCCGGCGTCCTATGCAGGCTTCTCCCCGCGCTTCGTGCACGGTGGCGTTTCTCAGGGTCCTGTCTGGGCTCCTAGGAGGAGCCCGTGCATGCTAATGGATTCAACTGCCAAGGAAATGAGAGTTGACCTCCAGCCCCAACATCCCTGCTGGGCTTCTGAACCACAGTTCTGCTGCCTTTGGGTGCAGAAACACCTTTCATCGCCCAGATGGCATTTGTTGCTGTCCTCTGCAAACTTGCCTCTTTTGGGATACCTGCCGTGGCCCCAATTTCACTCAGGAGCCAGACCAGAAACCTACTTTCAATCCCTGCTTTCTCTCTTTGCCCCCATATCCAACCTCTAAAAACTGTCAAGGTTGCCGTCTTAACATCTCTTAGAGCCACTCCCTGTGTCATCAGCTTTCCCCTGGATTGTTGTGACAGCCTCCTGCTTCTCTGTCCCATAGGCAGAGTTGTCTTTCTAAAATGCATAGCTGATCAAGTCACTTCCTGGCCTACAACTTTCCAATGCTCCCCACCGCCTTCAGGACAAAATCCCGACCCCTTAGCATGGCTTTGAGACTTGTGGTATCCTGCTTCCTGCTCGCCTCTCTGGCCTCATCGCGTGCCACCTCGCGCTCTGGGCCCCAGCCTCCTGTATCCAGAGATGCCAACTTTGATTCCCCTTTCTTCTGTTCACCTGGGCATCTTCTCTGTTAGTTCTCAACTTAAGATTTTACTTCGTGCAAGGAGCTCTGAATGTCCCCTTCCCCCTGCCCACCCCAGATACCACCCAGATCACTCTGGGCTTGCCTGCATACTGGTCTATCTCACTAGACTGTAAGCTCCGTGAGGGCAGGGACTGTCCTTCAATTTTTGTATCAACAATGCCTGGCTTGGAGCCTGGCACATAGAACTCAATAAATGTTTGTTTAATGAATGATTCGTAGTGATCTGTACAACGGATAGCAGGGAGTGGAGGCTAGTTTCCTGGAGGAAGTACAAGTGCTTTCATAGCCTCAGCCGAAGCCAGAGGTCCTCCCTCCCCACCCTGCCCTGATATGCCACCTTTGCTTCCTGACCTGCAGAAACCACAGTGGCAGGGAAGCCCAAGGCGGGGTGACACCCTGGCTGCCTCCCACCCCTTCTGGATCTGGAGATGCAGCACGAGGCCTGGAGCCTGCAGTGACAGGATTTGGTCTGCACAAGAGGCAGGTTTCCCAGAGGTTCCTCACCCTGGAAGCCTGTCCCTGGGGGCTGTTTGAGGGGAGGAGGGAGTAAATGGGACACCAAAGTGTTACTTTTACAATGCTAGGGCCTAGGATAGAAATTGACCGCCACTCTGATCTTTGAGCTGATGCCCTAATTTGAATCCTCTGGGGGGGGGGGGGTGTCCAAGAGATTCTTTATGAAGAGAAGGGAGACCTGGGATCTGGGCTTTTGTTGGTAGGCAGGGGCTTCGATCCTTAATCTTGGGAATAGGAAGCCTGTGGGAGTCCTCCCCTTTTCCCGTCCCCAACATGAATGGCCATTCCTCAGCCTTCACTGGCTCAAGTGGAGAGGTTACCAAAATAAGTTTATGGGGGCGGTTGGAGGGAGGGCAGAATGGGGAGCCCTCGATGGGCTCGCACCGCTGCCAGGAAGGCTTCGTCAAATGTCTCACGCAGGTTCATGGCTAGAGTGTCGGTCCAGAAGGTGCCGCTCATGTGCTGCTTCCGGTCCACGTCCCATATGCTGACAGAGTGGAAGCCCTGGGGCACCTTCATCCTGCACGGCCGCACCTGAGGGTACAGCTCATGGACTATCACCTCCAAAGGCAGCTGAGGCACAGGTGCCACCTGCTTGCCAGCCACTGTGCGCAGCCGCGCACCACCATGCCCATCAGATCTGATCTGGAGGAATCTGCCAAAGTCGTGCTCCAGGCTGGGGTCTGGATGCACACTCAGGCCGATGCCCTGTGTGAAGCTGATCTTGGTGGTGGGGGGTCTGGCAGGATTGATGCTAGGATCCCACAGCTTGGGCTGCCTGACTCTGGGCTGCTTGTAGGTGGGTGTGGGTGTCACCAACGGCTTTAGCTTGGGTGGTGGTTTCTGTTGCAGGTGCATCCGTGGGAAGGGGTGGAAGCTCTTGGATGGCTTGGGGGTCCTGTAGAAGGGGACGGCCCAGGGTGGGGCTCGGGGCACTTGCTCAGTGTTGTGGATCAGAGATTGACCTCGGGGCAGTAGCTTATGATGGAGCCACTTCTTGAAATCAGCTTCTTTCAGAATTTGGTGTCTTTTCTGCAACATCAGAGGACAGAAGATAATTGAGGAGGGCTGCTCCTTCTGTGCTTCTATGGAAGAAGACCCTTCTGGCTATAGCCCTTGGAAATCTTAGGTGTGATTGGTCAGACATCGTCCCACTCCAGGGGAACCCTGATTCTGATGGGAGAATCCCCTGCCTTATGGGAGCCCTTGTTCTGACGGGGTGACAACTATTGCCCAAAGAGAGCCCTGGGCTGATGGGGCAGATGGAGCGTCTCCCATAGGAGACCTCCAGTCTGATGGAGACCCAGCCTCTACCCTAGGTGAGGTCTTCAACTTGAGGGGGAAGTTTCTGCCCTACAGGAAATCTTGAGTCTTAAGGGAGGAACCCATGTGATAGTGGAGACATGATCTGCTATAAGAGCCTCTGGTTTGATGGGAGGGAAAGGCATATGAGAAGTGCAAGCTGCATCCTTGACCCTGGAAGGAGAAAGCAGACAGGTTCTTGAAAGGCCTGGAGCTTAGTGGAGCTAATCTGGGTAGGCTTCTTGGAAGGAGTTGGCCTTGAGTAGTCATGTAAGGGAATGTAGTTGGCCAGCTCTCCAGGCTGGGTGGTGATAACTTGGTCTAGCTGTGTGTTCCTGCCTCCGCTATAGTTGAACCTTCAACTTGCCACAGAACTGTCCCCCTGTCTCAGTGTCTCACTTCCCAGACTGTTGCTAAGCCATCGGGTGGTTTGGAGATTGACCCAGCTCTGGAGGTAGGCTCTGATTAGGCTAAGCCTCTCGCAATAATTCTATCAGCCTTGCCCCAGACCTAGGTCAGTCAGCACATGGCTTTCCTTTAGCTCTAGGGATTGGAACATATGCTCCAACTGAGGCCAATAAGAGATGAGGGGAGATCTAGAAAGGACTTCTGGGAAAGTTTAGAGCCACAGGAACAGGTGGGCTTTGCCTCTTCTGGACACATATGTGACTGTGGAGACCGGGAGGCACTGACAACAGAGGAGGGCAGGGTTGAGAAAACGAGAGAAGTGCAGTCAGAACAGAGCTGGAGTCCTGGATTTGTCAGCCCCAAAGCCCTCCCCACTTCTGGATCCCCTTAGATTCCCAGCATCTTCTTTCTGGGTTTTCTGGTTCTTGCATCCTATGTAATTACACCTGCTTAAAATCCTATAGTGACTCTCTTCTTCCCCAGCCAACATCTGTCATTGATCTGGGCCCCTGCCAAATCTCTAGCTTGTCAAACTCCAACTCACATTGGAATCCCTGGCTGTCCTGAATTTGTACTTCTTGGCATATACCATGCTTCCAGGTGCCTCTGCTTCTCCACAGAGCTGTCTGTTCCTTCTGCCGGGTCAGCCCTTCCCTACTTCCTCATGTAGCTAACTGCTGCCCATCTTTAAAGATTCCTCTTAGCATTATCCCTCTGCCTGGGCTCTCTTCTCTGTGGGAATATAACCCACCTCCCCTACTAAGTTCTAAGCTCCTTGAGTGAGAGGACCACCTCTCATTGGTCTTTGGAGCTTCAGGGTCCAGCAGGTACCTAGCAGAGTGTGTGCTCAGTGTCTGTTGAAAGGGTGGGTCTTTTTAACCAGTGTTCTTCCAATTAAGGCAGGACCCGGGTCTCATTAGAGATTCTCCTTACCAGAAGGAGGCACTGCACTAGGAGGGGCTTCATAAACACTTGATCATTTAAGCAGCTTTTGCTTTATAACACAGACTTTTGACCTAAAGGAGTGGCTTCCAAGGGTAGAATTTTAGAGGTGGAGAGGCTCTCTCTGGAGGGGACTGCTTCTAGCCGCTCTAAGTGCCCGTGAGACCCGGCCTCCGCTCATCTGCCTGGATGCAGCTGAGGCCCGGTGCCCGGGCAGCCCTACCCCTTACTTGTTGCTCAGTCAGGTAGTCCTGCTCCATGAGGGCCAGCTGGCCTTTGAGCCGCTTCAGTTTCTCCATCTCACAGGCAAAGTCCTTCTTGTCGCGTTTCCACATGGCATCCTTCAAGAACCTGGTGCCAAGGCGAGGACGTGTCATCCCCCAGTGACTGGGCTTCAACCTGGGAAGACTGGCCGCTGCCGAGGGCCTGGGTGGGTGTGGGAGGGGCTGCCAGAGATGAGAATAGCAAGATGACCCACCCCCACTGCCCAAGGCCCCTCTGGCTAACTACTTCCTGTGAGATGAGAGAGGAAGGTGTCTGATGGTCCGATGACTACCCTCCTGATGAGGAGCCCGGGGCAGAACGGCAGTGCTAAACCAAAGGGGTGAGGCCTGTGGGAAGCCCCTGGGAAAATATCCTGGGAAGGGGACAACCCCAAAGACATCCCCTAGCCACTGGTTTCCCAGACCCCCCTCTTGAAGGCTGAGTTGAGCGAGGGCCCTAGGGGCAGGGCTGGGAGAGGGGGTGGCAGGTGGAGTGGTTCCCAAGCCCTCACCGAGCACAGACACGGTAGTTCCATATTTTGCAATAGTCGATGGGCTTGCAGCCCATGGCATCTCGGGCATGGACATTGGCACCGTTCTTCACCAGGACCTTCACACAGCTCAGCAGGTCCTCCCGGGCTGCCAGGTGCAGGGGTGTGGAGCCATTGCACGTCTGACTGTGGAGACCCCACCACGGGGAAGAGGGCAATAAGGAAGGGCAAATGGCATCCACCTATCAGATAGGTGGGCTTCCACGCCTGCTCTGCCACCAGCCCACTGGGTGACCTTAGCATGTCCCGTCTCTGTCCTTCAGTGTCCTCAGCTGTAGGAGGAGGATTCGGACTAAATGAGCAGTCAACATCTGGTTATGGGGGTGTGGGACAGTGAAGAACTGCCGGAAGGAGAGCTGGGTCGGCTGGAGCTCGGAGACTACTGATCTCATCCACTTAAGTCAAGCAGCATGCCCTGGCTGGTTTGGCTCAACGGTTAGAGCGTTGGCTCAAGGAGAAGGGTCTCGGGTTCAATTCCCGATCAAGGGCACATACGTGGGTTGCAGGTTCGATGTCTGGCCCTGGTCAGGGTCATGCTGGGGAGGCAACCAATTGATGTCTCTCTCACACTGATATTTCTCTCTCTCTCCCTCCCTCCCTCTCACTATATCTAAAAATCAATGGAAAAATATCACCTGGTGAGGATTAACAAAAACAAAAAATCAACCAGCCCTCCTGCCCCTTCCCCATTCCTGGCTGTGGTGCACAAGCCTGGGTGCCCTGGGCCCTGCCTCATCCTCCACCTCATCCTCTGACCTCTGTCCCTCTCTGTCCCAACACTCGGCCTTTGCACATGATGTTCACTCTGCCTGGGAAAATTTTCTTTGGCTATTTGAATAGCTAGCTCACCACCTTCAGGTTGTATTTGAAATGTCACCACCTTAGAGGTGACTGCCTCTTCCAAAATAGATCCTCTCCCTGCACCCTTTACCCCCCACTCCAGCACCCTGTTTGTTCCCTTCATAACTACTACCACACTGTCATTTTCTTCATTTATTATTGAGCTAATTTACTATCTGCTTCTGTACTAGGATATCAGCTTCATGAGGGCCAGGGACCATTTCTGTGTGTTCACTGCTGCATCCTTCACCTGTAGCATAGTGCTTAGCACATAGTACATGTTTGGACTGAATGCAGTCTCTTATATGTCACCCATGCACTTTCCATGCATTTTCCAAGTCATCACAATGGTGTTGTGATAGGTGCTATCATCTCCCCAAATTTCAGTTGAAGACACTGAGACAGTAAGTAGTTCCCAAACTGCTACAAGTCAGAAACACGTATGGATCTTTTAAGACTTCCAAAGCCCAGGCCACACCCCAGACTAAATACCACCTCTGGATTGGAACGCAGGCATTGGGTTTCTGGAGCTCCCCCAGTGATTCCAATGTACTGAAGAGCACCGAGGCTTACGGTTGAGTGCCTGGCCTGAGGTCTCGATGTTTGCTGGCAGATGACATAAACTAGGTCTGTCCTCTCCCAGAGCCCAATTTCTTGCCTAGTACACCATGTGGGCTCTCTGACTTCTTTACATGGGGCCCAATTCTTGTCACTCCATATCCTCTGCCTGTCCTACATGGATCTGCCCGCCTGGAAGTGGGTTCCTCTTCGCCCCGCCTCCAAGCCACTCTCCTGCTACAGGCTGGACTCACGTGTTGATCGCTGCCCCGCACTTCAGCAGATAGTGGATGCAGGGGAGGACTGTGGTCTTGTTTTCCCTGTGGATGGCGAGGTGCAGTGGTGTCTGGCCATTGTTGGTGGGCAGGTCCACGGGAAACTTGTACTCCTCTACCAACACCTTCAGGCATTCTAGCTTGCCGCTTTGGGCTGCAAAGTGGATGGCAGTGAAACCCTGTGGTGGCCAGAGGAGGGCAGGAGGCTGAGCAGAATGGGGGCCCTAGGGGCCGAAACCTAACCTAGGTAGAAATTCCTTGGGGCTCCCTTCCTCTCTTCCCTCTGACCTCCCCGGTCCCCCAGGAGTCACTCACACCTCTTTCCCACTCTTCCTTGATGCCCCCAAATGGCCCTCCCACAGTGGGGAGGTGAATTAGGATGATCTGCCCAGAAAAGGACACCTCTGGATGCTCTTTGCCAGGTGAGCACTGTGCGAGGAGCTCTTGGGGGGAGGGGAGGATCCCGGTCCTTGCTCCTGCACTCCAAGGCCTTACCTTGTTATCAGCGGGGATTTCCCTAAAGTCCGGATTCAGACAGAACCGCAACCATTCCAGGTTGCCCAAGGCGGCCGCAAACAACACGCAACAGCTGCTCATTGCCCGCTGGTCCCTCTCATCGGTTGGGCTAGAGTCAATACTGGGGTAAGGGAGGAAAAGGGAGAGTGATCCAGGAGGCAGCGGCAGGTCCTGGTCCCTCGTGGGCGAGGCTGTCATTTTACAGAGGCTGGGCCAGGGCTGGCTGGGCGTCAGGGCACGGAGGGAGTGGCTGTCTCCGAGTGTTCCCAAGGACCCCGGAAGCCCCGCAGAAGGCCAGCCCTGGCCCCAGCCCAGCATCTCCATAGCCTCCACCCACCCATTCCGCTCCAGGCTCCAGGCCCTGCCCCTCCAGGGAGGCTCCGAGCAGGTTCCCACGCGGCAGCCAGACCTCCTACTCCCTGCTCACCTAGGCACTTTGGACTCGGAGTTACTCCAGGTGAACTTGGAAGCGAGTTTCTCCCACTGCTTTATGAAGGCACTTGTGGACGGGGGCTGGGAGAGGAGGCACGCGGAGCCCCCGCCCACTGAGTGGCACCGCTGCGTCCTCAAGGTCTGGTCTGCCAGCCAAGGCTCGACTTCATGCTGCGGGACGGGTGGGAGCAGAGCTGGCCCCTCCGAGACCACCGGGAGCCAGCTGAAGGACCTAGCCCGGGAGCCTGTGAACCCTGCCAACCCTGCCATCGCAACCGCCCGGGCCCACTAGGCCTGGAAACAGCATCAAACGCACACGCGCAGACGGAAAGACCCTAGCTTTCTGTTTCTGATTATAGAATTAATAAGTTCTGGTTGTAAAAAAACAACAACAACAGAAAAGGACAATGAGGAAAACAAAAACCACAATCCCACCACTCAGAGAAATCATGATCTATTACGATGTTTTATATCGTAGAGACGGTTCGTACCGCTTCCCACTTAGCGTTATATAGTGAGCTGATTTCCATTGCCAGTTCACATAACAAATGCGCATTGTGACGCATCCAACCCTCGCCCAGCATCTGAAGGGAAGCCTGTCATTTCACAAGTGCTGTAGAGAGCAAAATGGCTCCTCTCCAGTGGTTTCCTTGCGTGGGTTCCTGGAAGCAGAATTACTAGGTGAAAGGGAACGAACATTTGTTTTTTTTAAGCTGTTGATATGTGCTTCCAAATTGCCCTCCAGCAAGTTTTTATATTCACTTACACCTCTCCCTGCAGTGAAGCAGGTACTCACATCAGAGGTGTGCAGGTTACTTTGGGCAAGTTACTTGACTTCTGTGTCTCAGTTTCCGCAGCAGCATGATGGGGATAATTGTACCTACTTCACAAGGAGGGCAAGGATGCAAGCAATGAGAGGAGGCTGGCTGAGTAATTTGCTATTATTACAATATCACCAGCACTGGATATTATGATTTTAAATAAATGTTTACTGATTTGGTAGTAGCAATGGTGTTCTAATTTGACTCTTTGATTACCAGCAAAGGTTAAACAATTGGTTAGCAGTGTTTTTCTCTTCTGGGAGTAATCTGTTTAGCACTATATAATTGTTCTTTGAGGGTCTTAATGTATCTCTTGTTGATTTGTAAAACTTGTTAACATAATAATGCTTTATAAATTTTTGTTGTCAATGTTTTCCTCAGTTTGCCTTTTAACTTTTTGTTGTTGTTGTTAATCCTCACCCAAGGATATTTTTTTCATTGATTTTTTTTAGACAGAGTAGGAGAGAGGGAGGGAGGAAGAGAGGTAGAGAGAGAGACATTGATGGCCATTGGTTGCCTCCTGAACTACCCTGACCAGGCTGGGAATGGAACCACAACCCAGGTACATGCCCTAAACTGGGAATCAAACCCGAGACTCTTTGGTTGGGCTGACGTTCTAACTGTTGAGCCAAACTGGCCAGGGCTGTCTTTTAACTTTTTATAATATACAGTAGTCAATCAGTGTTGCTTGAATCAGTGTTGTTACTGAACTCTATATATTCTCACCCCGTCTCAGTTAAAAATGGGAAAAAAACCTAAGTAGATAGACATTTCTCCAAAGAAGATATCTAAATGGCCAATAAGCACTTGAAAAAAAGCTCAAAATTAATCAGAAGGGAAATGAAAATCAAAATCATACTGAGATATTTTACACCCACTAGGATGGCTATAATAAAAAAACACAGATAATAAGTATTGTTGAGGATGTAGAGAAATTGGAATGTAAAATGGTATAGCTACTTTGGAAGTGGATTTGTAGTCTGGCAGTCCTTCAAAACGTTACACATAAAGTCACCATCTGACACCCACTTATTTCACTCCTAGGTATATACCCACCAGAAATGAAAACATGTCCACATACAAACTTGTACACGAGCATTCACAGCAGCATTATTTATAAAGGCCAAAAGTGGGAACAACCACATGTCCATAAACTGATAAATGGATAAGCAAAAGGTGGTATATCCATGCTGTGGAATATTATTTGGCAATAAAAAGAAATGAAGTACTGATGCATGCTACAACGTGGATGAACCTTGAAAGTATGCTAAGTGAAAGAAACCAGTAACAAAAGACCACATATTGTATTATCCCATTTATAGGAAATGTTCAGAATAGGCGAAGCCTAGGGCTGGGGAAGGGGCAGAAGAGGGGTTTGAGGGGTGATGGTTGGCAGTGCAGGGTTTCTTACTGAGGCAATGAACTGTTCTAAGATTGCTTGTGGTGATGGCCGCCCAACTCTGAATATACTAGAAGATGTTGAATTGTATAGTTATAAATAGGTAAATTGTAGGGTATGTAAATTATATCTCAATAAAACTGTTATTAAATAAAAGCAACCCTGTGCCTTGTGGACACCCAAGAGCTTCCCCGGATGGCTGTGAATTGTCGTGGGGATGGAACTTTTATGCTCAGGGCCTCCTGTGGTGTCAGTTCTTGATCGAAGAATTCTGGCTGGTTCCACAACACATTGACCCAGAAATGGGACTTGGCCCTTTGCTGGAGTTTCTTCTTTGCCCACTCTGCCTCTTAGGACGTGTTCATGACTTCACTATAGATGGGGCAGAGGAGACAGGAGGGATGGCATTACAGAGGGCTGGCAGCTTTCAAAGCAACATCCAGTATCCTGGGTTTTAGGATGCTCTCTACCACCCCATGCCCCATGTCCCTCAGGCTCTCTCTCTAGCAACTCTCCTCTATTTCGGTCCTGAATACACCAAATTCCTCCCTAGCATCTCTCAGACAGAACTGATTAGACTCAGACAAATCTTTTGTGGCCTATATTACCTTTACATGGCCCCTGAGCTCATTTTCCACCCTCAAAATTTACCAAGATATTTCTTCCAAAGAGGAGTTCTGTTGTCAATTGTTAAGACATTAATGTGGTGGGGTTTTTGTTGTTTTTGTTTTTCTAAGTGGAAAGGATAGTTTAGTGAACCTCATGTACCCATCATCCCCAGCTTTAACAATTATCAATGTTTTGCCAATCTTGTTTTCAAATAAGATAAACTCTTTATCTCAATTACTTCTCATCTGGGGGGGGGGGGGCTTTTAAAATGAAAACACAAATGCTCCTATCAGAACAAGAGATTGAATACAGGCTTGACAGTCTGTTCTTTCTGAGCGCCAGGAAGCCAGGGAGAGGCACGGAGCATGCGGGCCCCCCAGAGCCGGCGGGGGCTGAGGGCGGGCGCATAAGCAGTTGGCTCAGGTGTGTGGAACCATGGAGGATGGGGAGGGGTGCGTGGACATGACGCGGCGGGCAGGGGTCCCAGGACCGTGTTGCGGGCGGGACTAGAATGCAGTGTCGGCGGTGGTGTCCTGTGGCGCCCCCTCGCGGGAGTAGAATTCATCCACCACACTCTGCGGGATGCGCTTCAGCATCTCCTTGGGGAAGATGCGCAACAGCTTCCAGCCCAGGTCCAGCGACTCAAACACCGAGCGGTTCTCATAGGGGCCTAGGGACAGAGCATGAGTGTCAGGTGTGTGTGTGTGTGTGGGGGGGTGCTGCCTGAACGCCCCCTACACGCCTCACCGCCCCCTACGCGCCTCACCCTGGTTGATGAAATTCTTTTCGAACTTCTGCAGGAATTCCAGGTAGAGCAGGTCCTCGGAAGTGAGCGCCTCTTCCCCCACCACTGCCTTCATGGCCTGTACGTCCTTCCCGATGGCGTAGCAGGCATACTGGGAGGGGGCAGAGTGGGTAGATGGTCACCGCAGGCTTGTCACCTGAGCCTGATGGCCCCCAGTATGGCTGTGTCGGGGGAACCACTTTGCGGGGGGGGGGGGGAGGAGAGATTTTGCCAGGAAAAAAGCTCGTGGTCTAGATAAATCTCAGACCTTCAGCATCTGATACCAGCTTCCCCACCAGCGCCTGGGCCCGCTCCTTCTTACCAGCTGGTTAGAGACATCTCCATGGTCCTTTCTTGTCATGCCCTCACCTATGGCAGACTTCATCAGTCTCGACAAGGAAGGGAGCACATTGATGGGGGGGTAGATCTGGGGGTGGCAGAAGGCAGGGTTCAAATTTCCTTCCCACACTGCGTGTTCCACCCCACCCCCACCCCTGAGGTTTCAGGGGTCTTCATTCATCCAATAGCGAAGTGAGTCACAACCTCTCTCCTTTATCTCTCACAAAGTCTAGGGCTTGGGTGTGTAGGTGTCTACATGTGTAGGGGGAGATGACATGATATCAGTTAATGAAAGCCTCGCTATTTCAAAACTTTTGATTGTTGGACAAAACTAGGTTGACACTTAGGTTAATAGCTACCTGCTAAGCAGAGGAGAAGTCGTGGGGGTTGCCTTTAACCTCGGATGGGACAGACACGTTTTCTAACCCACTGGCACGCTAGTCACCATCTACTCATGTCTGTTACCCATTGTTGTTTTCAAATCCTCACCTGACGATACTTTTCCATGTGTCTTCAGATGGAGTGGGAAGGAGAGCGAGAGACAGAGATAAAGACAAAGACAGAGAGAAACATCGATGTGAGAGAGACACATCGATTGGTTGCTTCCTGCATGAGGACCGAACTGCAACCAAGGTACATGCCCTTGACCAGAATCGAACCCGAGACTCTTTGGTTCGCAGGCTCTAACCAGTGAGCAAAACTGACCAGGGCCGTTACCCACTGTTTTCTGTTCATCAGAGCAAGTTACTGGAAAGGGAAGAGAGATGATATTTCTTTAATATCTACTACCTAGTTAATGCCTTCTGTATGCCACCTTATTTTATCCTCCAAAATGCAACTATGTGATAAGCATTATTATTCCCATTTTAGAGAAGAGGAAACCTAGAATCAGAGAGGTGAAACTATTTTCTCACATTTCCATAGCCAGGTAGGCTGGATTCTGCCCAGACCTTTGTTCTGCCTGTGAGCCACACAGTCTTCCTGGGGGGTTATCTCCTGTTTGGGGGAGCCTTGCTTGGCCACTCCTAATTCACAGACACAGAAAGCACAGGGTAGTGGAGAGAGCAGAAAGAGGATGGAGAGGGAACAGTACCTGTCTGTTATGAAGCTGTCTGTCCACATAGATCTGTCCCTCTGTGATGAAGCCCGTCAGGTCTGGGATCGGGTGGGTGATATCTACAAGGAGATTTGCTGGCCTCAGTGTAGCTGGGGCCCAGGTCTCCAACCACTCAGGGCCATCTGGGTTCTTTTCCCACCATGGGAGTGATAGGGGTAGATGGAGGCAAGGAAAGGACAGTATCTGCCCTGATGGAGGAAC